GCCGGCCGCGGCCTCCTTGAGGCCTAGCGGAGCGAGGTTGGGAGGGAGCCCCATCTGGGGCCCCTGTCGGAGGCAGGATGTACCCCTTTTCCGCCAATCTCCCGAGAGTGGCCTGAACACCTGAGCACCCTCTTTTGGGGGCAGTTGCTAGCAAAGTGCATCCTCCTGACCAACTTAAAGGAAACGACCTCGGAGGAAGCCCTTGGGGTACGGCATGCCCGCCGCCCGCACCCCAAGAAAGTGTTTCCCCCTGTGGTTCGGCCTGTGAGACTTGAGCACTCACGGTGTGGCTTGGAGTCAAGGACGAAAGCTCTGACACAGTTGGCCCTGGGTTTGAAACCCGTCTCTGGCACTTCCTGGCTGTGTGGCTTTAGCCAAGTTGCTTAAACTCTCGAGATCTGCTTTCCCCACCCCTCACCCCCATTTCCCCAATCTGCGGTGGTGTCTTTTGAGTAGTTGTGACCTTTATAAACTAGTCAATAAGCCTATCCCGAATAAGGCATGTATTCAACATTTACTTGCCGAGTATATATATTATGGAAGCCACCACGGATGACTCCAGTGGTGGACAAATGTACAAACCTGCTCTTCACATTTATATTCTAGCCAAAGAGCAGTAATTTTTAAAATCAACAGTAGAGCCTAATGAACAGGGAGCTTATGGCAATTTTTCTCAGGGCTCCCCACCCTAAGGCCTGCTGGATATTGACAGCTCCATTCATGTCCGCAGGAAGAATACCTGCACTAAAGTCTTGCCTGTTCTTTAAGAGAAAGAGACCCGGTTCGATCATTGAGAAAATAAACTCTTTCCATGCCAGAATCCTTATTTCTTATGCTCCAGAGAATTTCCTTAAAATGCAGAAGTGAAAAATCATGTTTGTTTAACATAATGGTGGATGAAAGTACCCCAGAAGTCAGAGAAGTTACTTGCCTACTTGCTGCCATCTTGCTTAATAAGTTTGCTGTAGGATGCTTGCACTCACAGGAGGGAAAGTGAGAAAGCACCCCCCAGGGGGATGGCTGCCAGCAATCTATTCTCCTCTGGGATTTGGGGCACATGTGCACACGTGCCTGGTGTGTTTTTCAAGATGCAGGGTCCAAGGCTCGAACTGTGCAGTCGGCCACGTGGGATCCAGCTGCCTTAACCACCATGCCACTGGATGGCCCTATTTGCCCTCTTTGTAAAAATGAATTTTTGTCTCCTTGTACCTCCTGTTGTGTATATTGATGGAAGAAAAAGTTCCTTGTGGTGAGTTGGTATTACTAGGATAGAATTTACCAAGAATTGAGCAAGGTACTGGGAAATCAAGAACAAGTTACACAGTTCCTGTGTCTAAGCAGCACACATACTGGCCGTATTGACAGGTTGAAAAATAAAGTTACAGTAAACAGAATCATACATTCAGGTAAACCGGATAGAAATACAGGTGAGGGAGCGATTCTGCCCAGAGAGTTAATGAAAAAAAATTTCATTGAGGAGATAAAGGTTGAAAGGGACTGTGAAGGATGAATTAAGAGTTGTTCAGGTAGACTCTCAGAATTTATTCTGAGAAGCTATTTGCCAGTGTGAGAAGGTAAAGCTCATTATCATACCAGTTACCTTTGGCACTGCCTCCAGGAATAAAATGCTGCCCTATTTTAAGTTGTTATCCCAAAAGCAAGATAGAATTAGGATCAGGGAGCTGTCATATCTGGTAGGTCCATTGGGGTGAACTCTGATAATACATCACTTCCTTTTGGTGTTATCTTTTAATCAGCCTGAGTACATGTTTACATGGCATCAGCTAAATGTTTTCCATACAAGAGATGGCTTAGTATCACCAGAAAAAACCTGAAAGTGCATTTGTAATACTACTCTCAATATCCCCAGTAATTTGTTTTAGTCATTTAATTCTGATCTACCAAATGACCAACTAGAACTTGTGAAGTATGCAAAAGGCATGACTTACTAGGAGATAATGTGAAGTGATTTACTCAAATACCAGTTCAACTACCCTGTTCTTTAGGAGAACATTCTCTTATGCTTGCTGAGTTTTGATTCTCTTTTTTTTGTTCCTTTTTGTTCTTTTTTTATTTTAGTGTCTCAGATTCATTCTTAAGGAACTGAGAACTTAATCTTCCAAAATGTCAAGTAAGTTTCAATTTTTATATTTATCAATCTATATTAATAAGAGCCTAATGCCCTAGCAAATGGGAAATCCAAAATACTCTCATTTTTTTTTTCTTCAAAACAGGACCATTGGTAGTTTTGTTGCATAGTATTATATCTCAGTTGTTTACAAGAAGTTATTTATTTTCTTTCAAACAGAAAGACCATCTTATGCCCCACCTCCCACCCCAGCTCCTGCAACAGTAAGTTTTAATTTTCTTGTTAATGTAATAGCCAAGTCTGGCCTTGATACAAAAACCCAGATGTCTTCCAGTGACAGTCACTCAATCATCACAGCAATAGAATGAAAAATTCAACCAAAAAAAAAAAAAAAAAGAAACAGCTCTTCCTATTAAATAAAACAACTCTGCATCTTACCTTGAATCAGCCCCAACATTTAAAGAGACATATTGTGAAATTCCAATCTGCTATGCTCAGTTGTTATTTGGAACACACTTCTCTCTTGTTAATTTTCACTTCGAAGAGTCCTTAAGTTGATATTGAGTGAATGCTCATTCTGGCAATTTTTTTTTTAAACCTAACCTTCAACTGGTTATATATTTTTTCCTCCTTTCCTGTCCATATATAAGATTTTCATATTAAGTCAAACAATAAAGCTTCCAGTTCTATAATTACACTCATTGTAAATATCTTTATTTTCAAGCTGTTCAAGTAAGGATTTCATTATCTGTGGGTCAGATCTTGCTATTCAATTTTGTTCCACTCCATAAATTATATTTGTCTTGGTTTGAGAATTGATGTTTTATAGTGTCTAAATAATAGTTGTGAACTAGTTTCTTTTTTTCCCAGCAAGCTCTGGCCCAACTTGGTCAGCATGTAAAATAATTGTCCAACCCACAAAAAAGACTTAACAATAACTGTTCAGGCCTTGCTGAAATGGCTTCTTTTTTTTTTTTTTTTTTTTCTTCCCTCTCCTCCCTCAGGTTTTGTTTGTTTTTAACAAACACTGTTAGCATGACCATATCCCACAAAATCAGTTCTTTAATAGTTGTTAGCCCTTCCTTCCATACCTGCTACCATCTAAATTTCAGGCTAGTCTACTTTTCACCACTGATTAGGCCCTTGAATAATTTTGTTCTCTCCACTAGATGACTACTCTTATTTACTAACCTTCAGTTGTATGTTTTAGTTACTTTTATCAACAATTTGGTTTTCCTTAGTGAGATACTTTTTAAAAAGACACCGTTTCCTATGTTCTCCGTTTAATTTATATTACATACAGTTTCTAAAATTAATTCCAGTGGATCTTAAAGTCCTGTGCTTGGTTTGTTTTCTTTCTTAAATCAAAGAACATTTCTTATGACCCTCTCCATGGCACTCTGCTAGTGGCTATACAGGCGGAGTGGAACAGTTGAGATACTGACCTCAAAGAGCTCATCATGTTCTTCAGTTTTGGAAGTGGTATAATTATCCTGTTTTAGTTTCAATATTTTTTTAGTTCCCTTATCTTTCTTAACATTATTGCCTCCTAATGTTGAACACTGCTTCTCATTGTTTACGCAACCTTTGAAGGTATCATTCTGAGTAAATACTGCCTCTGGCAGTGTATAACATCTTAGAGGATGAACTTGATTTTGGGGAATGAAAATATTTCAAACACCAGTGTCCCCTTATGATTTGTCATTTCTCTACCATTATAATTTCACATCAACACACAAAATAAAGAAGACTAGGGATTAGAACTCCCAACAGAATGGATACTATATAATTATTCTCCTTCCTTTTTTTTTCCCTCATTACTTCTACTACCACCACTACCACCTCCTTCACCACCACCTTCACCACCACCCAAATGTACCACTCCAAGTAATAAACACTTCTTTTGTGCCTTTGTACTTCATCTGTGTTTAACCTTCTTAAATATGTTTAATTTGCGTCTTCTTTAACTATGTAGACTAGAAATTGATCAGCTGTTCTCTTTTCTCCTAAAGAGTATCATATATAATATCTGCTTTGAATGTCTTTCTTTCAGACACTAAAATATGTGCAGTGACATGTTTTAGAAAACTGTGTTTCTTTTGTAACATCAACAGCTTAATTGGGATGTGTTAAGTGTACTTTACATTATACAGTTCAGGACTGATACTGTCAATTGCATGTAAAGTTGAAATTCCTGTCACTTGTTTTGATTGAGCTTCATTAGGTAAAATATCTTACTTTTGGTCTCTCTGCTACATTCTTTTTATGCATTTTGCCTTGATTCTCATGAACATTGGATGCCATTGTATTAACCATGAGGCCACTGCTACGTAAGAGCCCATCTGTGTTTACATCAACACATAACTCACAAAAACTGAGAATTCTGTTGCTGCAATGAACAGTTGTGCTTTGAAAGATTGAGAGCTATCAGGAGACTAGATGACAAAGAAAATTCAAGTCTGTCAACTAGAAAAGTAATTTACATTAAGACAAAATGCAGAATTTGTTTGTGATTGACCTATGGAAGATGGATCAAAGAAGAGATGGAAGAAAAAGCCTCTAAAAGAATAACTGGGTTAAAAAGATCAGATAGTTCCCCAGAATGAAATCCATGCATTTCTTACAAGTCTTTGTTTTGAAATCATGTATGTGACATCCATTGAATCCAACATATGTTCTTTTCTATTGACAACTCCTGGCTTCCTGATTGGAGTCTCTTCTCATTTCTCACATTATATAAAATGATTTAAAACTGTCTTTGGAAGCAGATCCATTTCTTGTTTTTATTTGTTTTTAGTAGATGAATACATTGGTGGCATCCACATAACTGTCAAAGAAATCATGTTTTGTTTTGCATGTAGTGTTATCACACTCCAAGCCTTCCTATCTCGGATATCATATATTGCTAAGTTGTTGCATCATACTTTCAACCATAAAGTAATCCTGAATGTTTGAAACACTTCAGTGTATTGCTTATATAATAATAATAAGCCACACTCATTCACACACAAATACCCCAGCCCCTGCAAAAAGAAAGACAAAACAAAATAACCAAAAATTTCAAAAATGAAACACTTGCAGACTGGTTTCTCAATGAAAGAAAAATTTTATTTCCTCAATAAAAGAAAATGAACAATTACAACACATCATTGCTTGTTTAAATTCAGGTTGCTTTTGCATGCCATATGCAGATCATTTTTCATTTCTGTGTTTTCCTCGTTTGAGCTCATTTCTCATTCGTGTTTTTGTCTCATTTGTTTCCATCAGCAAATGCCCAGCACACCAGGGTTTGTGGGATACAATCCATACAGTCATCTCGCCTACAACAACTACAGGCTGGGAGGGAACCCGGGCACCAACAGCCGGGTCACGGTAGGAGAATCAACTATTACAGCATCCGGCAAACAACTGGAATTGACCAGAAATGCCTTCAGAGTTAGGTCCTTTTGAAAAAGAAGAGTAGCCATTTAAAAAAAAAAAAAAAAAAAAGTTAACCTGGCTTTTCATCTATTTTTCAACTTTCATTGTACAATCTTACGCTGAAGAAAAAAATAATGAGATCTGGATATGAATGTGGAAGAAAAATCCATTCTGTTTGGTGGTTGATAGGGAAAAGCCTTGGGCATGTAATGCTTATACTGTTTGTAGACAAACTGAGAATTTTTAATGGTTAAATACCCATTTTAAGGTGAAGAACTATTTTTTTCTAAGGTAATTGGCATTAGTCTCAGTTTCTTAGTAAAGGCTGGGCTTTCAGACCTGGCTTTTTCAGAGCTGGGAAGCTTTTGACTGGCTTACCAGTTTGAACCGCTGTACATAATGATTTGTCTTTTGGATTTAGTAGTTGACTTTCTGAGTTACTTCTCTCCATTTAAAAAGAGAAGAATATTTTAATGTTACCTCTCAAAATTGCAATATGAAATTACTTTAAAGTATCAGACCAGATACATACAGCTAAAAGCACATTTCTTGTCCATAGTATGAAGGATATAACTGAAATTTAGGAAGTTAAATTGAAGTGCTCAAAATAAGATACCAAAATTCAGTGGTAATTGAAATTTTATTTTAGAATAATCTTAAACTCCATTTAAGGAATTTTAGATATGAAAAAGAAAATAGTAACTATATGGGTGATTTACCAAAAATAAACAAAAATAAATCCAAAAGTCAAATACATACATTGGAATGTGGTATTGGTAAGAATTTACATAACCCAGAATGGCTATAAATTTTTTAATGCCTGGTTTTTGTTTGCTGTATTCATCAATAATAAATGCCTTTTATTTAATGTAACTTCAAAAAAGCCCTCTCACCCTGTAGTCAAGCTAGAACTGAAAGCTTGTAGCTATCAAACTACATGTCTATCTTGGTAAGCGTATCGCTTAGCTTGGTAGGTTTCGTTTGTCTAAATTTTTCATTGTTCCTACATAATTTGTACTTCATAAGCATATCAAGTTTTATGTGCCATGCATATTTCATGGTATCGGAAAAGAATTCTGACAGAGTGTGTATATGTATGCATTATGAAATGCATATAATTTATATGTGTATATAATACATGTTTTTCCCTGGCTTACGTATGTTGTCTCACAAGTGTAATGGGTGGCAAGGTTATCAAATGATACAGAACATTTTAATTTGTGAACAGAATCCATTTTGGATCATTCGTATTACTACATAAATTTATTTGTGGGCACTAAACGAGAATGATTATATTTAACAGCTCTATACAGTCAGCTCTTGATTATTTGTGTTAACGGGGTAATTATCACATTAGAATAATGTGGTTTGTGCAAGCACTTTGGACTTAACTTGGATGTAGCTGTGGGGATTCTCTGTTAAAGTGAGGTTGGTCGTGGAGACTTACTAGGGAAAGGAAAGTGTACTCACCAGTTGTGGGCCTGGGTCAGTCATTTGTTTCTCTCTCACTCCTGGGGAGTGGAGAGAACCTAGCATCTGAACGGGCAGTCGCTTCAGGGTAGATTAATATAGGAGAGTTGCTGGACCTGAAGAATTCAGTGTTTTAGTTTTTCATGGTTGTTTTCTTTGTATTATGATCCTCTTAACACCAAATTGAAATAGAATCAAAGTGTTGTGTAAAGGGCCTAGAAAATGTAGAGCTTTTACGCTACCTTTTCAGAATATATCATTTGTGTTAGGACCCAGTATCTCCAATTTTGACCATTAACATTGTTTTTTTAGTTTTGCTCTTCGTTGCATATACTCACTAGAGAGAGAAAGAGACATGGAGGGAAAGTGAGAAAGCACCCCCCAGGGGATGGCCATGCCGCAATCCCTTGTCTTCCATTCTCCTCTAAGGATTTTGGGCACATACACACACACACACACACACACACACACACACACACACACACACACGTGCCCAGCATATTTTCCAAGTTAGGAGACTAGGCCATTTCTTATTTCTGTGTTTTCCTTGTTTGAGCCCATTGCAGGACTTGAACCGCTAAATCAGCCATGTAAGGTCTAGTAACCACCATGCCCCAGCTAGCCCTGAAAGTGTTTTGATTTTAAGATAACCCCAGTTACACTTCTACACCACCCCCTTTTTCTTTTTTTTTGGCTTCTATTTCGTACCGTTGTCTGCAAATTATCTTAGTGATTTAAAGGAAGGATTCTGTGAAGTAGCTCCCCTGTAGGTTGTGTGGACATTGAATTTCCCTGACAACTCCAGTGCATGTGGATAGTCTTCGGACAGTAAACACCTCAGGTAATAGGTGAGACCTTTTGGAGCCCATGATAGCTGTAAGGTGGAATTCATTCCTAGTCAGTTCTTCATTCAGATAATGACTTAAATATACAGGTTTGAAAATAGAATGAGACACAATGTTTTAAAAAGCATATTCCTGTACCTTAATGGAAATTCTATCACAGAAAAAAGAAACTTAAAAAGATCCCTACTAGAGAAAGAACTGAGAACTGGGAAAGAAAAAACAAAAGCCTCTAAGGTGAATTTCACAAAATCATGGATAGTTAATAGGAAATTTCCTGACTTTAACTCTTTAACATAAGTATTGTTTTAGCAAGTGAGCGTACTTGTTTTTCCCCACCCCATTGCAAATTGGGAGCAGAAAACTAGAAAGAGGGAGATGCTACTAGAGGTTTCCTGATAGCAACAAGAAAAGAAACATAGCAAACAAGAAAACACACTCTTCTGGCTGTTTCGGAAGAAAAAGCCAACAATTTTCACACCTCAGACAAGGTTATAGCACTGCAAAGCAGTGGTTGTTTCTAACTGACTCTTAGGAGACAAGTTCAAATGAGTTCAGCGCGAACTATTTTTTTAGGAGTGTAAGCATTCTTGAGGTATTGTAGAAGCATGTGTGAGATGTTAAATCAAGGTGCATAGTGACACAAATCTTACTATTCTGAACTAAAATGGAATTACCTTTGCTGTCGGAGGTTTGGGTTTTGTGTTTTTGTTTTGTGGTTTTTAGGACTTTTTTTTTATTTTATATTTGTGGATTGATCAGTCAGCGTGATGAAAAGATTATCTCAACATGTAGATGATTGTTGTAACTTCCTTGGGAGAAAGGAGGGGAAATAGGCAAATCCATTTATGTTATAAAATGCTGTTCTTTGAGAAATAGCAAGTAGAATAGCAAATATTACTGTACTTTGATTTTAAAGTATTTTAAATTCATACAGCATGAAAGGATAGATGTTTTAGGGTTCTTTATCCCTTTTTAATTAAAAAAAAAAGAGTTAACAGTAGACTGCCACCTTCAGTTATGGGTACAATTCTAACTTTTTCTGAAATTCACTTCATGGAATTCTATTTGTATTGGATATGAGGTGGAAACGCTTTCTAATAACTTGAGGATTTGCATCTCTTCCTTTGACTCCATGACCGAAGTTTAGATTTATATTCAAAAAATGTCCTGATGCATTTTACATAGAAAACTACGTCATGACTTTTCCGACAATGTAATGGGAAATCTCTTCCTCCTCTAAAGAAGTCCTCCAACCTAAACTCCACTTATTGGCTCCTCACAGCTCCACTGTGAGAATTTTCATTCCCACCTTGGCTCCCTTCACTCCACTGCCACTGCTCACCAGAAACAGGGTCTGTCTGCACGGGTACAGTGGAGGTGTGGTGGGGACAGAAAGAGAGGAAATGCTGCTTCCCAGACGAAATGTTTCCTAACAATCTCATATATGAAGAAGTGGAGTCATTATATAGGGAAGGAAGGAGACCCTGGGAGAAAGAGAAAGCATGTCTTGATGATGTTGGAAAAGGGAACAAACACACATGCTGATCCCTGAACCCTTAAATGAAAACAGGTTGTAATTGGGGTCCCAGCTCAGAATGGAGGCGTGTCCCTGGGGATTTATTACAGCAACAACAGAAGGAGAGAGAACAAAGTGTCTCTTTAGCTTTCTGATAAGGATTTGCCAAGCCTATCTTTAGATAAGTAAAGCCAGCACTTCCTTCCCCTCAGCTAGTAGGAGAGTCAATATCAAGGGTCTTCAGAAACCTGGAAATGATATGTGATTCAGCCATGATTTTTCTTCTGGTCCTTCATCAAATGCAGGCATGTAGGGTAAGAAGAGACTAGGCACTTCAGAAATGAGCACCCTTGCCTGGGCATTATCTGGAGCATCAGCAGAGCTGTCTGGACTCTCTTGCCTAGGCCTTAGCCCATAGGAAGAACCAATTGCTCATCTTTTTCTGTCTTCCTTCCTATTTTTTCCTTGCACCTACTTTTTTCTTTGCCTTTAAGAAAAATTAATTTTTCAGTCTCCCCTTTTTTTGTACTGTTTCCCTTTTCTTCACATCCCAGCTCTTATTTTCCTCTTTCAGTCCTTACACAATTCCAAAATTGTTAATGGGATACAGATTTTTTTTTTATACAAGACCTGAAAAATAACATCCTCAGGCCCCCTGTCTGATCCAGGTAAAGTGTTTGCTCCTGCACTGTGGTTGGGACTGAGGACAAAGAAAGTGTGCTTTTAGTTGACACTTCTTGGCCTCCTTCTAAGAAAGCCACTAGATAACAGACATAGAACCTTACAAGAAATAAAATCTCTAGTCGAGGTAAAGGAGATAAGTAGGTTTGGCTTCCTCCTTGTGTTTTCAAGGTAGTTTGGGGGTCGTTGTTGTCGTTTACAGGGAGGTTCACTCCTGACAGTTGGGGTAGGTGCACAGCCCCCTTAGTGTGAGTGTGGTAAGTGCCAAGGGTTCATATTCTGGGGCAGATAATCAAGTGTTGACTGTATGTGTAACAGTAATTGACCAGAATAAAAGGGTGCCAGGTCATGTCCTCAATGTGAGATGTCTGATATATAACCATATATTTTTAATGTATGGATTATTATGTGATATTTTATTTGTTCTTACAGCCAGGTTGTCAAAGCAGTGGCAATAAGCTGCTAAGTAAAACGTTTTAAAAATTATGTACTTGAAGTCATTTTCTTTTGATGTGAACATTTCTGAATTTGCAGTGATAGCTATTTTCAGTCGAGAAAATAGAACAATCTTGTGTCCATGGACGAGTAGAAGAAAGGCGCATTAGAATTTTTTCAGTTTGCTGGTGAACTCCTTGCAGTTGAATAATGAATGTATTTAACTCTTTTGTAGGCGTCCTCTGGTATCACGATTCCAAAACCCCCAAAGCCACCAGATAAGCCGCTGATGCCCTACATGAGGTACAGCAGAAAGGTAGGCACCAAGAGCTGGACGGAGGGAGGACGCTGGCCTTGCTTCTAGGCCTCACTTCTCATTTCACACTGGCCTTGCTAGCTTTGCTGTGCATATTCAGAGGGAAGGACCAAAACAGTAGTTGTTAAAGAGATTAGCTCTGATTTCATAATCCCAGAACTAACACCCAACAAGAAGAACATGAATAAGCAAACTTAAAATCCCTAAGACAGGATGTGCTGTAGCCATTAATGTCTTTTGCAAAACATTTAATGACATGAGAAGAATGTTAAGTAACAAAAGGAATACACACCATAGGTATTAATGTCTAACTTAAGGGAGAGAAATAGCCTAGAAGACAATGGGTATCGCTAAGCACTAAACTTACCGTAATTTTTATTTTCTGTATATTGGGTTGTGAGGAAAGTCATCGTGCATTTTTGCATAGAAAAACAGAAAAATATGCCATGATTTTCCTGACGACCTAATACTCCCTTGAATTTTTCAGTTTTTTTGGTGATGAATTTGTATTACTCTTAAAATAAAAATGTAGCCAATATCTTTATTTAAGAGAAGAATATTTTAACCACTTCTAAAAATTAAAATATTTTTGGTCTCGATGTATTGTATTATGCAGATTAAGCACTTTCCTTCTGAATTCCACTTGGGCTTGTAGAGACATAGACTGTGTTATTAATCCACCTTAAGTGTCTACAGTGTGTAGAGGTCCTTGGCCTCTCAAACTGGAGTGTTTATGATTGAGGTGACATGATGTCCAAGATCTGCCTGGAAATAATCCAGTAGAGTAAAGATGAAACAAGATTGGCTAGCTGTTGATCACTGTTGAAACTGGCTAATGAGTACATAAGAATTTGATACTGTTCTCTCTGTTTTTTATGTTTGAAAGTTTTCATGTTAAAAAGTATTCTTAAAAGTCTGCATATTTCGGCATTAATGTTGACATTTCAACTGTTTCCTTTTTAAGGTCTGGGACCAAGTAAAGGCTTCCAACCCTGACCTGAAACTGTGGGAGATTGGCAAGATTATTGGTGGCATGTGGCGAGATCTCACTGATGAAGAGAAACAAGAATATTTAAACGAATACGAAGCAGAAAAGGTAGGGTTGGGGCTGCAGTGGGGTGGACACAGTAGAAAGTGCATGATGTTGATGTCTTGTTTTTAAGAGAAGCATAGATTTGGTCAGAAAGCTGAGGCTCTACTGAGGCTGTCTGCCTGCACCAAGTCACTTCATTTCTCTCCGCTTCAGACTTCTTATCTATAAAAAGGAAATCATTATTGTAACTCCCTGCTTACATCGTATCTTTAGATATCCAAATGAGTTCATCTAGGTATATGTTGTAACCCACAAAATGGTCATTATAAAACTGAAAAACATTTGAATTGCAGATAGAGTACAATGAATCTATGAAGGCCTATCACAATTCCCCTGCCTACCTTGCTTACATAAATGCAAAAAGTCGTGCAGAAGCTGCTTTAGAGGAAGAAAGTCGACAGAGACAGTCTCGCATGGAGAAAGGAGAACCTTACATGAGCATCCAGCCTGCCGAAGACCCAGATGGTAAAGAGGAAAGCTGGGGTTTTGTTTATGCTTTCTCTGAGAATTAAAATATGAGAAATCTCATAAGTATACGTTTTTAGTTCTTAAGTGAAAAACAAAGCATAATTCAAGTGTCATTTCCATATCTTGATTATTTTGAGTAAGACTGGTGAATTTCCCACAGAAACAGAAATATTCTCGTTAGTGCAGACAAGAGCAAAAATTATTTGCTTATGAAAATCTGTGTACTTAGTAAGATTTTTTAAGTCACAATGAGGATTTCACCCCAACTGCTTTTAAAAAGCTAAATGCCTCTAGTTACATTCTGTTTTTTTCATTGGTTCCCTAAACTAAAAGCTCTTAAGGGAGAAAGTCAATGAGTGAGTAGAGTATCATGAAATTTTCTTTTCCAGTTAATTCAGAAAGCCAGTAAGAATTTATAAATATAGCTCATGATACCACCACTCAGGACACACCCATACACATTTTATACAGTCACATACACTGTATGTGACTCAAAATGGCAGAGCTTCCTCATCCGCCTACCTCAAATAGTTTGCAGGTGTACAGATTGCTCCTCCAGGCCTCTGTAGCCAGGCAGGGTCTGAAGCTGCAAGGAGCCCCAGCGATCGCTACCTCCAGCCATAAGCAAGCAGAGCTAGCATTCTGTATAAATGTTAATATTTTCTCTATGAGCTTCTATTGATGTGGGAAAGTTTGGACACTGTAGCCACAAGTGCCAAAAACATTAAGAAGCTAATTTAAAATCCAATTTAAAAATAAGCAGAAACAGGGAAGAAGCTTATAAGAACTTTAAAGAAGATACCCATGAGGGAGGAAGTACCACCTAAAGACAAGGACAAATTGATATACTTAAAAGGAGAGAAAAACAAAAAATGATTTTTTAAAAGAATGGACTAAGGTAATGATAAATGTTTTCAGAAATAGGCAGTAGAATATGATAATATAGGGAATAGAATACGGAATAGAAACATTGAGTGTTAAGCATACTCAGCAGTGCTAGAGACATACTGGAGACCTTAATTATTCAAATTAAATGACTAACATAAAAGAAACGTACAGAACTCAAAAAAATAGAAGATCCAGTCTACAAATAATTGAGAGTGAGACAGGGTGGTGGTTGGGAGGGTGGGAATCAATACAGGAAGAAACAAAGACTAGCAACATAGTAGCCGCAAGCAGGAAATAATTAGTTTTCATTTAGCAAAAGGTAATAGCATGAACATTGAGAACTAAAAAGATTCACTCAAGAATAGCCTCAAACTTGTGGCCATTATGCTTTTAAGTTTAAAACAGATCTTAAAACTGTTGGTAGGACAGGTATAAGAATGACTTTAGGGGGCCAGCAGATGGCATAATGGTTGTATAGCTGGACTCCCATGTAGTCGATCACAGTTTGAATCTCGGACCCGACAGCTAAAAACTCACACCAGGCGCCTGTGTATGCATGTCCAAAATCCCGAGAGGAGACTGAAGGAGAAGGGATTGCAGCATGTCCATCCCTCCTGGGGGGGTGGGTGATTTCTTGCTTTCAGTCTCTCTAGCAAGTGCACACACCCTATAGCAAAAATCTCCCCGCCCCTCCCAAAAGAATGACTTTAGACCTTGGACTTCATTAAATAGAAAGAACACCTGAAAGGCAGAAATGTACATAAAACCAAGAGAAAAGTGTCATTTCTTGAGAACCACAGCCACTAATTTCTTTAACAGGACCATCAAGAGATCTATAAGGTATAAGCAGCTATCTACACAAGGCAGAGAAGGCTTTTTTGCTTATTTATTTATTTAAGAAGAGTGTGCATGCTCACAGGAAAGAGAAGGAAAGTGAGAAATCATGCCCAAGGGGGGTGGCCACACCACAGTCCCCCCTTCTTTTTCTCAGGATTTTGGACACACACACACACACACACACACACACACACACACTTGGCATATCCCTTAAGTTTCTGGGTCCAGAACTTGACCAGCCCTGTTGGCCATGTGGATTCCAGCCTCCCTAGCCTCCACACCACCTGCTGACCCAGAGAAGGCTTTTTCAAATGATAGACTACTCATGAAAAAAATAGATAGTGAATCAGATAACTAGAAAAACTATCCTCCCATTAAAAAAAAAGAAAAGAAAAGAAAATTTAAAAATTAGACAGCTGAAGTACAAGAACAAGCCCAAAGCCCAAATTACTGAGACTTTATTTCCCTGCCCAGTGGTCAGCAGTGGAGCTGTGTAAATGAAAGAAGGAAGCAAAACTAACAAAGATAACCAAGTTGGAGGGAGCATAAATATATTGTGTATAACCTTAAATGTGAATAGCTCTTCCTTAAAAGTAAAAACATCGCAGAATTTAAGAAACAAAATTTATCCTCATAGTTTTAATTTCAGAAGTGTGTATATATATATATATATACACACACACACACACATATATATATATATACACACACACATATATATATATCCAAAACGAATTACTCAAAGGGAAAGCAGAAGTAAGTTTTTTTACTCTTTCCAAAAACAACAATTTGTAACTGTGACATTTATGAGAGTTCTAAGAGCTACTCAAGTTCCAGATAATAAGGGAGGTGCTAGCCTGTGATGTAGCAGCACAGCGCAGGCCTCTAGCAGGCTGTCCTTGGGCGTGGTTCCTCCATTCCGGTGGGACACAAAGGCTGACAGGTGGTTCAGAGAGGGACATTTGTCTTTATGTGTATTGCTTAATAGAGAGGTCTTAAGTGATTAATTTAAATAAAGTAAAGTGATAGCATAAGTTGTTAGCAGATATATGAAAAACCGATAGAACAAGTGGCTGAGTTTAGAGACACTGTTGGCTAAGTCCTAAAAATAAGCATATAAACCAGACCCACAATTTATGTATGTTATGTGTAGGAGCTTAAATAACACCATTACTCACTGAAAAAAATGAATTAAAATTGACAGAAAAGTAAAAATAAATTTGGGAACTAGCCACATGGCCTAGTGTTAAAGGGGGAGCCAGATCCCACATAGCTGACCATGGTTCAAATCTAGCACCTAGTGGGGGCTGTAAAAACATTCTGGGTACATGTGTGTATGTGCCCAAAATCTTGACAGAATGGAGAAATGAAGAAGGAATTAGGATAAGACCATACCCCTCCAGGGAAGTGCTCTCTTCTCCCTCTCCTCTCCTCTCATCTCTGGTGCGTGCACATGCCTTCCAGCAGATTTTTAAAAATAAATAAATAAATAAATTTGGCAAAGATTCCCTCCTTCCATAAAATTACTTTAGGGCCTTGTTATTTTTTGTTTAAGATTTTTGCCATAAGGTGTGTGTGTTTGCCAGAAACAGAGAAAGTGAGAGGAACAGCGAGAACTCACCCCCTGGGGGATGGCCGCACCACAGTCTCTTTTTCATTCTTCTGGGATTTGCACACTTACCTGGCTTGATTTTCAAGCTGCTGGATCTGGGACTCAAACCTTGTTCAAGTGCATGGAAATCTAGCACCTTAACCACCATGCTACATGCTGGCCCCAATGTTTTGTTAATCTAGTAAAATATAACACTGTCCTAAAAAACAGCATAGTCCGGGGAACCAGCAGTTAGCGTAATGGCTATGTCGCTGGACTCCCACGTAGTCGACCGCGGTTCGTGTCCCGGACCCGGTGACTTGAAACTCACGCCGGGCACGTGTGCGTGCGTGCCCAAGATCCCGAGAGGAGAATGGAGGAGAAGGGATTGCGGCGTGACCATCCCCCCTGGGGGGTGATTTCTCGCTTTCTGTCTCTATGTCTCTCTCTGTCTGTCTGGCGAGCGCACGCGCCCTACAGTGAAAATCTCTCAAAAAAAAAAAAAAAAAAAAAAACGGCATAGTGCTAGAGATAATGTTTTTCTGCATTGATAAGTTAATTTTACAAGTGGGCATTTTCATTTCTTTAATTATTTTTTTGAGAGGTTTTTTGGTTTGTTTTTTTGCTATAGGGCACATGTGCTCACCAAAAAGAGAGAGAGAGAGAGATAGAAAACGAGAAATCACCCCCAGGGAGGATGGCCACGCTGCAATCCCTTCTCCTCTATTCTCCTCTTTGGATCTTGGGCATGCACACACACACACCCGGCATGAGTTTAAGCCACCAAGTCCGGGACTCGAACTATGGTCGACTACGTGGGAGTCCAGCAACATAGCCATTATGCCAACTGCTGGTTCCCATTTCTTTAAAAAAGTGTTACAGTGACAAAATACTGTCCAGTTTGTATGTTGTTCATCAGTTGTTAAGTACCTTAAGTTATTACCAAGATTGAAACACTCAGCAGAATTTCCATAATTGCCATCATAAATAGCCTTCACATTGCTTCAGAGACCAAAAGAAAAGCAGTTATTATTTCATTTGTGTTTCAGCAAAATCTTCAGACACATCATCATTTAAGGACTTTGTAAGAGCAAATTTCTCTTAACATTTTTTTATTTTGACCTATTAAAACTAAAACTTTTTTTGAAATTAAAAAACGTCTTAAAAATATTAATTGATACTTATTTAATGACTGCAGTAAGCTATATAGCTCCAGTGAGGTGCTACTTTATAGTATATTTACTCACTGAGGTTTACTCCTAAAGTCAGACATGCATTCATAAATATGTATATATCAGGGCTGGCCGGTAGTATGGCGGTCAAGGGTGCTGGACTCCCATGTGGCCAACCACTGTTTGAGTCCTGGACCAGTGGCTTGCTTTCTCACTTTCTTTCTCTCCCTCTCTCTCTGTCCCTCTCTGGTCAAATAAAAATAAGTAAATGAATAAATAAAGTTAAATAAAATATGTATTTAACATTATTTTTAAAAATAAAATATGTATATATCAGCTGTTCTTGCTTTTGAAAGTCTTTAATTAAGATCTTTAGTGAATCAATAAAATGTGAAAATAAAAAAGACATGGAAAACGATTATACATACCAGAGACAGTATGGGAGAAGGGGGGTAGTTGGCAGAGGGTGAGAGGTAGGAAATCGGGGGGGTGAGGGGCAAAATATATAAGAAACAAGAAATTGAAAATTACTTGATTATAACACGTATGGTAATATCCTTGATTGAGCCAGTATACTATGTATACTGGGTGGAAAATCTCATTTTGTATACTGTATTGGTGTACAGTGAATGACTGCAAATAAATAAATAAATAGACTTTGCGAGGAAAACCATACTTTGGCGAATGCACTCACACGCTCCCTGTATGGTTTTCATTAAGTGATTACCCTGGTGTCTCATGATGCCAGTCAGGCAAATGAGGCCCACTGTCCCTTGATAATTGTTAACAGTGTCAGACTCTCTTGGTTACTGATGACCTAATTTCCAGAATACCTTGTCCTCTCCAGATTATGACGATGGCTTTTCCATGAAGCACACAGCCACCGCCCGCTTCCAGAGGAACCACCGCCTCATCAGTGAGATCCTTAGTGAGAGTGTGGTGCCAGACGTCCGGTCAGTCGTCACAACAGCTAGAATGCAGGTCCTCAAACGGCAGGTTCAGTCCTTAATGGTTCATCAGGTAAAGTCACATGATACCCTGTACCATAAAATGAACCTGTGCCACAGATGCCAGGTGACGAGGTTCCTATGCCATGCATGAATGTGCCTGTTAAACATTTCCACCTGACCTGTTCCTGATCTGGAAAAGGGCTATAAGGGAGTAAACCTTTCCCAGAAGTTAAGAGAGTCATGAAAAACTGTAATGTAGAAACTTGTACAGGAAAGCATATTCATTAAGAAATATATGTGAACTTCAGAATTTTCTTTTTTTTTTGGAGAGGTTTTTGCTATAGGGCGCATGTGCTCGCCAGAAAGATGGAGAGAGACAGAGAGACAGAAAGCGAGAAATCACCCCCCGGGGGAGGGGGGCATGGCCACACCACAATCCCTTCTCCTCCATTTTCCTCTCGGGATCTTGGGCATGCACACACGCACGCCCAGCATGAGTTTAAGCCACCGGGTCCAGGACTTGAACCGCGGTCATCTACATGGGAGTCCAGCGACATAGCCATTATGCTAACTGCTGGTCCCTGAACTTCAGAATTTTGAGACATTTTGTTCCCCTTCAGTGCTTTAGTAAATGTTTCTTCCCAAAGAAATTGCTCAGATCTGAAACAGTATTTTTAACATTTACTTATTAATCATTGTCATTTCCCTATGCTACATTTTATATGTTTAAAATATTTTTCTTTAAATAATTATTTATTTAATTTTATTTATTCATTCATTTATTTTAATTTGACCAGAGAGAGATACACAGAGAGAGACAGAGAGAGAGAGAGAGAGGGAAAGTGAAAAAGCAAGCCACCAGCTCCAGTATTTGAACCACGGTCAGCCATGTGGGAGTGTCCAGCACCTTAACCACCTCACCACCTGCTGGTACCCGAAAATCGTAACTAGACTCATGTAATGAATTATTTAAATTAAAAATTCAAAGCATGATTTGTCACACTGTTTAAAAACGAGGAGCTTTAAGAAAATAGCCATATCTTCTGTGTTTGTCATTCGCTTTAGAGAAAATGATTAGAAACCCTGTTCATGTGTCTTACAGCGAAAACTAGAAGCTGAACTTCTTCAAATAGAAGAGCGACACCAGGAAAAGAAGAGGAAATTCCTGGAAAGCACAGATTCATTTAACAATGAACTTAAAAGGGTATCTGATGAATGCATTAATGATACTTTAATCACTGTTATTTTTTTTCCTAAAATTATGTTCTTACTGAATGTTGTTTACTTCGAAACAGGGTTTAACCTGTAAACCTCTTTAACCTCCATAAACTGTTTGCTTTATAAAATTATTCTCATTTTCTGGCAAAACTGTACTAAACTTGACATCATACAGTGTATATGTATGCACTAGGCCTATAGATGTTAGTGTCTCGGGCTGTTTTAATTCAGACTTCCATACGACCTGAATTACTCTCATTTACTGGGATTTATTTATCAGGTGTCTTCCTTAGATGTAGTTCACAGTTTGTGCTCAAACAAATCTAGTATTCAACAGCCTGCAATACAAAATAGCAGGTGATCTGGTACTTTTAATGTTGCCTCTCCTACCACTCTGTAATAGTGGCCATCATGTGGCTGGTAAGGCAGTTTTCTTTTCCTCTAGGCACAAGAGTTTCAGAGAAGACCTAGAGCCATGTTTTTTCTCATATATATTACCTATATAATGTTATATGTTACGTATTTATATATATATATATATATAAATCACTATATTATATTGGGTTATTGGAAAAGTCATGACGTCTTTTTTTTCTGTTTTCCTGTGCAAAAATGTATCATGACTTTTCCAATAACCTAATATGTGTAATATATGTGTGTATACATTTCACAGGCAAGAAGATCCATATTTTGAAGTATTTTCTTAAAGATTATAAGAGAACGGGACCAGCAGTTAGCGTAATGGCTATGTCGCTGGACTCCCATATAGTTGACCGCGGTTCGCGTCCCAGACCCGGTGGCTTAAAACTCATGCCAGGCGCGTGTGCGTGCATGCCCAAGTTCCCGAGAGGAGAACGGAGGAGAAGGGAGTGTGGCGTGACCCCATCTCCCCTGGGGGGGTGATTTCTCGCTTTCTGTCTCTCTGTCTCTCTCTGTCTCTCTCTGTCTTTTTGGCAAGCGCATGTGCCCTATAGCAAAAACCTCTCCAAAAAAAAGAAGAAAAAAAAGATGTTAAGAGAACATCACTGAGAGTTTTATTTTTTTTTTTGACCACTAGTTGTGCGGTCTGAAGGTAGAAGTGGACATGGAAAAAATCGCAGCTGAGATTGCACAGGCAGAGGAACAGGCCCGCAAAAGGCAGGAGGAGAGGGAGAAGGAGGCGGCAGAGCAAGCGGAGCGGAGTCAGAGCAGCCTTGGTCCTGAGGAAGAGCAGGCGGCAAACAAAGCTGAGGAGAAGAAGGACGACGAGAGCCTGCCGATGGAGACAGGTAATCCACTGTAACATGGAGGAGGTGTCCAGGCTTGTCACAGCTGTTGGTGTTTCTTTCTGAATGCTTTCCAGAAGTCACTATTAATTGTGTCTCCTGAGTTCTCTGAGTGACTAACCCAATTCTTTGCAAATCTAACGTCTCTAGTAGATTCACTCAAAATGTTGCTGTCGGTACAAAACGGCAGTGGTGCCCTGTCCTCAGTCTTGCTGTGTGTGGTCTTGGTTGTGTACCCAGATTGATTCATGTCATTTTTGGCTGGGAAATATAAAGTAGAAGAATACAGTGGTTAAGGACACTGTTTGGAACCTGACAGATCCAGATCTAATCCTGTTCATTCCACTTACCAGCCGCAACTTTGGGTGGCTAATTTATTCTTATTCCCAGTTTCCTCATTTGTAGTATCTAATATTTGCCTCTGAGAGTGAGTTTAGGAGTGGATTTGACATGGTGTTGACACTCAAATTTTTTTAGGTTCTGTTTTGTTTTGTTTTGCTATAGGGCATGTGCGCTTTATGGAGAGAAAGAAAGGGAAAGTGAGAAATTACTCCCCAGGGGAGATGGCCATACCACATTCCCTTCTCCTCCTTCTCCTTTTAGAATTTTGGGTACGCACATACACATGCCTAAAGTCACTGGGTCTGGGACTTGAACCTCATTCACGCATGTGAGAGTTTTAGTACCTTAACCACCACACCACCTGTTGGCTTCAACACTCAGTCTGTTAACATTTATCATTAATAGTATCTAAGCTAGATTTGATTATTGCTCTTACAGTTGCTTGCCTTTGGTATCCTAGGACAGCGTTCAGCAAAGTAAAACCTGCAAGCCAGATCCTGCCCGCCCATTTCTGTGTACCAGGTTTTTAATGTTCACAGCCACATCGGCTTTAGGGCTCAACAGTGTAGTGGTGTGATTGTAACACAGACTGTTCAGTCTACAGAGTTGAAACTATCTAATCTCTTTAAAGAAAAAGATTGCTGATCCCATCCTAGGAAAACTCTTTCTTCCAGTTGTACCAATTTTCCTGATTAAAAGCATTTCTTGGGCCAGCAAGTGGTGTAGTGATGATTAAGGCACTGGACTCCACATGGCTAATAGTGGTTCAAGTCCCAGATCCAGCAGTTTGTAACTTATGCCTGCCGTGCGTGTGTGCATGTGTTTGTGTGTGTGTGTGTGTGTGTGTGTGTGTGTGTGTGTCCAAAATCCCAGGAGGAAAATGGAGAAGGAATTGCAGTGTGGCCGTTCCCCCACCCCCTACCATGAGCCTACCACTCTGTAATAGTGGCCATCATGTGGCTGGTAAGGCAGTTTTCTTTTCCTCTAGGCACAAGAGTTTCAGAGAAGACCTAGAGCCATGTTTTTTCTCATATATATTACCTATATAATGTTATATGTTACGTATTTATATATATATATATATATAAATCACTATATTATATTGGGTTATTGGAAAAGTCATGACGTCTTTTTTTTCTGTTTTCCTGTGCAAAAATGTATCATGACTTTTCCAATAACCTAATATGTGTAATATATGTGTGTATACATTTCACAGGCAAGAAGATCCATATTTTGAAGTATTTTCTTAAAGATTATAAGAGAACGGGACCAGCAGTTAGCGTAATGGCTATGTCGCTGGACTCCCATATAGTTGACCGCGGTTCGCGTCCCAGACCCGGTGGCTTAAAACTCATGCCAGGCGCGTGTGCGTGCATGCCCAAGTTCCCGAGAGGAGAACGGAGGAGAAGGGATTATGGCTTGGCCATCTCCCCTGGGGGGGTGATTTCTCGCTTTCTGTCTCTCTGTCTCTCTCTGTCTCTCTCTGTCTTTTTGGCAAGCGCATGTGCCCTATAGCAAAAACCTCTCCAAAAAAAAGAAGAAAAAAAAGATGTTAAGAGAACATCACTGAGAGTTTTATTTTTTTTTTTGACCACTAGTTGTGCGGTCTGAAGGTAGAAGTGGACATGGAAAAAATCGCAGCTGAGATTGCACAGGCAGAGGAACAGGCCCGCAAAAGGCAGGAGGAGAGGGAGAAGGAGGCGGCAGAGCAAGCGGAGCGGAGTCAGAGCAGCCTTGGTCCTGAGGAAGAGCAGGCGGCAAACAAAGCTGAGGAGAAGAAGGACGACGAGAGCCTGCCGATGGAGACAGGTAATCCACTGTAACATGGAGGAGGTGTCCAGGCTTGTCACAGCTGTTGGTGTTTCTTTCTGAATGCTTTCCAGAAGTCACTATTAATTGTGTCTCCTGAGTTCTCTGAGTGACTAACCCAATTCTTTGCAAATCTAACGTCTCTAGTAGATTCACTCAAAATGTTGCTGTCGGTACAAAACGGCAGTGGTGCCCTGTCCTCAGTCTTGCTGTGTGTGGTCTTGGTTGTGTACCCAGATTGATTCATGTCATTTTTGGCTGGGAAATATAAAGTAGAAGAATACAGTGGTTAAGGACACTGTTTGGAACCTGACAGATCCAGATCTAATCCTGTTCATTCCACTTACCAGCCGCAACTTTGGGTGGCTAATTTATTCTTATTCCCAGTTTCCTCATTTGTAGTATCTAATATTTGCCTCTGAGAGTGAGTTTAGGAGTGGATTTGACATGGTGTTGACACTCAAATTTTTTTAGGTTCTGTTTTGTTTTGTTTTGCTATAGGGCATGTGCGCTTTATGGAGAGAAAGAAAGGGAAAGTGAGAAATTACTCCCCAGGGGAGATGGCCATACCACATTCCCTTCTCCTCCTTCTCCTTTTAGAATTTTGGGTACGCACATACACATGCCTAAAGTCACTGGGTCTGGGACTTGAACCTCATTCACGCATGTGAGAGTTTTAGTACCTTAACCACCACACCACCTGTTGGCTTCAACACTCAGTCTGTTAACATTTATCATTAATAGTATCTAAGCTAGATTTGATTATTGCTCTTACAGTTGCTTGCCTTTGGTATCCTAGGACAGCGTTCAGCAAAGTAAAACCTGCAAGCCAGATCCTGCCCGCCCATTTCTGTGTACCAGGTTTTTAATGTTCACAGCCACATCGGCTTTAGGGCTCAACAGTGTAGTGGTGTGATTGTAACACAGACTGTTCAGTCTACAGAGTTGAAACTATCTAATCTCTTTAAAGAAAAAGATTGCTGATCCCATCCTAGGAAAACTCTTTCTTCCAGTTGTACCAATTTTCCTGATTAAAAGCATTTCTTGGGCCAGCAAGTGGTGTAGTGATGATTAAGGCACTGGACTCCACATGGCTAATAGTGGTTCAAGTCCCAGATCCAGCAGTTTGTAACTTATGCCTGCCGTGCGTGTGTGCATGTGTTTGTGTGTGTGTGTGTGTGTGTGTGTGTGTGTGTGTGTCCAAAATCCCAGGAGGAAAATGGAGAAGGAATTGCAGTGTGGCCGTTCCCCCACCCCCTACCATGAGATGATTTCTCACTTTCCCTCTCACTATCTCTCTGGCAAGCGCACACACCCTATGACAAAATCCTTAAAAAAAAATTCTTCAAGGTAAAAAAATGACATGTAAAACTTAAGTAATATATGGATTAAATTTATTATTGCTTGAAATTTTTAGATCAACCTACGTCCTGGTGGTATCTTGACCCTGCCTAGTGCACTGTGTAAACAGGACAAAACTAAAGTTAGGGAAGACTGCCAGAGGCTGCCTAGACCATCTTGGCAAGAAGTGGCAGGGATAGTAGTCATAGTCACACTTGCACTCAAATGACAGCCATCTGGAAAACATTTAATAAAGCGTAGATATCATTATCAGCTATTTCTACAAAATGTAATTCAGCAGATTAACATTTCAGATAGTCAGCAGATTTATTTCGGATAGATTAACTTCAGATTTTAAGTTTCATTATCTGAGCCTCTTTCTGTTTTGTATGAATGCTTTTATCATAACAGATTTGGAATATGAGCACATATTTGTGGTTAAAATGAGAACTTGAGAATTGAAGTTCTTTGCTCATTTTGCAACTAGACAAAACACTTAGTCCTTTGCCACTATTTTGTCACCTTTGAATGGGACATGTCTCACGCTTTATAGATCTTTACTCAGATCCTGTCCTGGTAGTTTAAGGGGGAAAAAACAAAGAAAATGATTTGAGACTTAGAACCAAAACCTCATGCTCTGAATTTCTTATAGGAAATAGCCCAGCATGACTTTTAACAAATTATCTAGGGACCAGTTGGTATAATGGCTATGTCGCTGGACTCTCATGTGGTCGACTGCAGTTCAAGTCCTGGACCTGGTGGCTTAAACTCACACGGGGCGCATGTGCAGGTGTGCCCAAGATCCTGAGAGGAGAATGGAGGAGAAGGGATTGCGGCACAGCCATTCCCCTGTAGGGTGATTTCTCACTTTCTGTCTCTCTGTCTCTCTCTCTGTCTTTTTGGTGAGCGTATGTGCCATATAGCATAAACCTCTCAAAAAAAAAAAAATCTAAAATACTAACCTTATATTATTTTCACACCTGCCTTCTCTTCATTATTCAAAGAAAAGCACTACAGAACAGCATTGTTCAATTGAAATAAAATGCAAGTCACATGTAATTTTAAATTTTCCAATAGTGACCTTTCTTTTTTTTGGTCTTGGGCACATGTATTTGTCAGAGAGACAGAGACAGACAGAGAAGGAAAGTGAGAAATCATCTTCTGGAGGGTATGGGTACACTGTAGTCACTTCTCCTCTCAGGATTTTAGGCAGGCGCGCATGCGCGAACACATATACACACACAGACACACACACACACACACAGTGTATTCTTTTAGCCACCAGATCTGGACCTAAAATTACAGTGGGCCATGTGGAATCCAGTGTCTTAACCACCATACCACCTGCTGGCCCACTGGTGACATTTGTAAAAGTTAAAACAGTTGAACAAAACAAATAAAATTGATTTATTTTTCAAGCGAGATTTTTGCTATCAGTTGCATGCTTTCGCTGGAAAGACAGAGACAGAAAGCAAGAAATCAACCTCCGGGGGGATGGCCACACTGCAGTCCCTTCTCTTCCATTCTTCACTCAGGATTTTGGGCACACACGCACACACCCCCGGTATGAGTTTCAAGCCTCTGGGTCCAGGACTCAAATCATGGTCAGCCATGTGGGAGTCTAGCAACATACCCATTATGCCATCCGCTGATCCCAGTAAAATTTATTTTAATGATATATTTACTTAACTCAATATATCCTAAATAGCATTTCAATATGTAGTCAACATTTTAAAATTATTAACTTTTTAATACTTTTATACTATTGGGTCGTTGGGAAAGTCATGATACATTTTTGCATAGAAAAATACATCATCATGACTTTCCCAGTAACCTAATACGTCTTTACAGTCCAGCATATTTTATAGTGGTACCACATCTCAGTTCAGAAGCTGTTTTCATCAGAAATACCTGTATTTTAGAGTTTGTACATTAATAGCTAAAAAGATTTTTCTCACCTAATAGTTCCAAACAAGTTCTAAGTCACATTGGCCCATTTCAAGTGCTTGATGAGCAGTGTGGCTAGCAGCTACCATCTTAGCACCACTGGATACCATCCACATAATTAGAGTACATTTTTATCTTGGAACTAGCAGTGACAAATGTCCCCTGTGATTACAGAGGAGACACACCTTGAAGAGACGACAGAAAGCCAACAGAACGGGGAAGAAGGCACGTCTACTCCTGAGGACAAGGAGAGTGGGCAGGAGGGGGTCGACAGCCTGGCAGAGGAGGGAACCAGTGATAGCAACACTGGCTCGGAGAGCAACAGTGCAACAGTGGAGGAGCCACCGACAGACCCTATACCGGAAGACGAGAAAAAAGAATAAATGTTGCCTTGTTTTATGTGTTCTAAATACTTTTTTTAAATGAAAAAAAAAAAGTGTGTTTTGGTTTTAATGGTGTTATGTGGTTTGTGTATTAGTTGTTTGTTTGGGGTTGTTTTTTTTTTTTTTTGGTTTTTTTTTTTTTTTTTTGGTTTTTTACCTATATCACACCACCAAAGGCTTTTGGACCATTTAGCATCATGAGCCTAATGGCACGGTCACCTACCTTTCTTAAGCATTTGTGAAGTGGCTCTTTTCTTTGGATCTTGTTCCTAGCCCTCAACTACTGAAAGCCTCAGAATTTAGATCGAGAAAATACCCACCTCTTATAGAGAATTATCCTTGGATGCTGCAGAATCTACTCTTAAGGATGCCTTCCTACAGCTCACTCGGGTGCTTACCAAAGCCATAGCTTTAAACCTCCCAGTCCCCTTCAGCAGCTTCCTCAAAGTCCCTCTTGTTTACTTCTGCAAAGAGTAGCTTCTTGAAAATGTAGTCATATATGAGTGTGTTTTGTCTCCTTACCCTTTTTTAATCTTTAATCAACATCAGCTACCAAGAGTCATGTTAAGGAGTTGAGTGTAGTCTGTAACTGACTACACTTGGATCGCATTGATCCAGAATAGTCTCCGTAGTTAGAGTAGTTACTAACTTATGAAATCGTCATTAAAGTGAACACAGCACACATATACATTATCTGTACTGCTTTGTGTTATAACTAATATTGAGTATGTTCTGATAAACTCATTCTTGTATAGAAAAATTAATCCTTTTTTACCAAGTTTTCCAAAGAATAGATCACAAAGCTTAAGGAATTGAATATTCTTGTAATGGACTAGATAATTTCAAAATGGTTAACCCATTCCAGAAGAAAAACAGCTGGGAATTAATAAGTTCATCTACTTGGAATTGTTTTACAGTAAACAAAACATTTAAAACCTCAAGGCTCAGGGTCTCATAGATCAGAGCCTACCTTTTTGATAAACTCTTAGTAAAGTCTTGAAAACTAGAAGCAAGATAGTTTGTGACACGTATGCTTCCCAAAAACTAGAATAGATTTTTACCGAATAGTGGTATATCTGATGGTATATGTTTCTAAAAGGTCCAAATGTAATAAAAAAAAAATGAAAAAAAAGGTCTCAGTGTTTTTAATGCACTAAATACTGGTATGTAAGACAAGCATAGGATTTTGTTTAATGACAGGATGAAATGGCCACTCCTGGCCATTATAAATTTGCTTATTCAGGGCCCTTGTCTCACCTAACTACATCTGTTCACTACTATAGTAAAGTTCATTGGTACAAGACACATGAGAATCCTTACATTATAGTCTTCTCACATGTAGAAATTGGTCTTTGGCTCCTCACAGAAGAGGAATATGTTGTTTATTAACATGACCTGAAGAAGTCTATGACATTTAAATGACCTTTAAAGACACATGGCTAGATAATAAAGGTAAGCCCTGTGCCTACGTGGAGAGAACCATCCCAGCCTGACAACTTGGCACGACTTCACTGCTGTTCGGTGAATGGCACGTTATTGACTGTAGGACTCCACTCTTCAGCCTCCAGGGATAGAGAGGAGGAAGATTCATGTTGGGTGGAAACTAATGTCTGTTTTTTCTAAGTAATATGTGGGACCTTTTTTCTGTTTCCTCATGAGTCAACTGATTTACCAGGGAGGTCCATTTCTAGGAGTAGGGCATTGTAGGGCAAATAATGTAACCATGTCAGCTTGGACAGCCTTTTTTTCTTTGTTTTCTGTTTGGGGAGATTTTTGCTGTAGGGTGCATGTGCTTGCCAGAGAGGGAGACAGAAATAAATCACCCCACAGGGGAATGGTCATGCACACACATGCTCAGCATGAGTTTTAAGCCACCAGGTCCAGGACTCGAACCACAGTTGACTACATGGGAATCCAGTGACAACCATTATGCCATCTGCTGGTCCCAACTTGGACAGCTTCTGTAATACATTCTTTATAGTCACAACAAGGCAGAGAAGGTGTTAAATATTTGTTTATCAAGAAAGTCATGATGCATTTTTGTGTAGAAAAAAAAAAAATGTCATGACTTTCCCAATGACCTAATAGTATGGGTGGTAAACAGTACCAGAATAAGACATCAGGTTATTCACTATGATGTGGAAGTTGGTTTGGCTTAAAGTGGTTCCCCTGCTAAGCAGGAGATGGCACTGGGAAAACTAGTCTGTCTAGATCACACCCACACGACACTGGCAGTTGGCTGGAGAGTGAATTAGGGCAGATGAAATTTGACAGTTTTTTTTTTTTTTAAGAATTATTTTATTTAACTTTATAATTTGACCAGAGAGGGACAGAGCGAGAGAGGGAAAGTGAGGAAGCAAGCCACAAGGTCTGGGACTCGAACCACAGTTGGCCATGTGGGAGCCCAGCGTCCTTAACCACTACACCACCTGCTGGCCCTGAAATTTGACAGTTTTTAACCTCACGGTAGGGGAGGGGAGGGTTGGAAATTCTTTGTCAGACTGAGGTATATAGACACCAATGTTTCCTTTGGAAATGTGGGGGATGTGTCAGAGGTCTCTGAATTTTTTCCCCCATACCCTCATCAACAGCTTAAACTCAGCCTGTTACAACCATAAAACAGGTTAAAGTACTTTATATCTCAGTGCCTTTACTGCTGCAAAAAACAATGATTTTTAAAATTTTATCTACTATCATAATATTTTTATATTACATTGAATAACATTTATCTTTACAGTGTATTACATTTCTTTTTCCAGCATGATTACCACGCATATCAGTCAAGACAAAGACATTACTATCCTCATCATCAAATAGCTTTTCATTATTTTTTTCAGATTATTATTCTCATTTTTTTTAAGCAATCACTATATATCATTTGGCTTGTAAAAAGAATTTACCCAACATGAAGTGCTTCTCAGCCCAGTCCAGTTGAAAATACTATACATGTTATCAGCAGGTAATAAACCATTTCTGTGTCCCAGTAATGTCATGCCTATTTGTTCTCTTGCTATCCTCTATACTCTTCTCTTCTCCCCCCCCACCCCATTCCACACTGTCTTCAGCATCCATAACTATTTTCATTGCTTTTACACCCCCCCCCAATATTTCAATCTCTACCATAAAGTAGCAATAGTCAGTATATACTAAGTGGATACATATATTCCATATCCTGGCTTGCTTCACTCAGCAATAGATCATCCTCCATATTTAACCACTCTATCGAATGCCAGGCTCTTGCTTTTTTGTGGCTGAGTAGTATTCCATAGAGCATATGTGCCACACTTTTTCCATCCATTCATCTGTTTGTGGATATTTAGGTTGGTTCCGTGTCTTAGCGATTGTGAATAATGCTGCAATGAATATTTATGTGCAAGCACTTTTCTGACAGCATTCTCCTGTCCTTTACGTTGATACCAAGAAGCTGCATCAAATGGTAGTTCTATTTGTAGATCTTTGAGGAACCTCTATATTGTTCTCCACAGGGGCTGAATCAGTTTACATTCCCACCAACAGTGTAGGAGAGTTTCCTTTTCACCACATCCCTGCTAACACATCACTTTTTGTATTTTTAATCTTTGCCATTTTGACAGGGGTAGGTGGTATCTCATTGTGGTTTTAATCTGCATCTCCGTTATGATGAGGGATGTTGAGCCTTTTCTCATATTAACAAGCTATGATTTTTAGTACTTTTATTTTTAGTATGAATGCCTAAAGTTTGTGAGCTTAAGTTGTATTAATTGTTAACAAATAGGAGAGGAAATCCTTCATAATTCCCCAAATTTCTCACGGGAATTTTGCCATCTATCAACAGGCCTATTTTTTTTTTTTTTTTTTTTTTAGTGTCAGAGGGCAAATGCACATAGCACAAGGAAGAGAAAGCATCCTCAGGACCAGCAGTTAGTGTAATGGTTATGTTGCTGGACTCCCACGTAGTCGACCGCGGTTCGAGTCCCGGACCCGGTGGCTTAAACTCACACCGGGCACGTGTGCGTGCATGCCCAAGAGCCCAAGAGGAGAATGGAGGAGAAGGGATTGCGGTGTGGCCATCCCCCTGGGGGGTGATTTCTCGCTTTCTGTCTCTCTCTGTCTGTCTGGTGAATGCACGCGCCCTATAGCAAAAACCTCTCGGGGGGGGCGGGGGGAAGCATCCTCCAACCAGGCCCAGTCATGCTGCTGCAGTCTGATCCTTTTTTTCTCCACTTTGCCATCTCAGGATCCTGGGCACATGTACACATGTGACCGTATGTTTCAAGCTGCCGAGGGCCAGGATTCAAACTGGCCAGCCCCATGGCATCTGGCTCCACCTGCCAGTGATTAAAAACTGCTCCCGGCCAGCCCCAGCGTATCTTTCTAAGTGACTCTCCTCCAGTACTTGCTAAGTATGTATGCTATAAAGCAGAGATGTGGGGAGACGGCAATAGGGGCTATCTCATTTTAACATGATAATGTGAGCGCTCTATAGAAAAGATACTACCCTGTACTCTGACTACATTGGAAAAGGGACGCTGAGGTCTCATATATATATATATATCCATTATCAAAATTAACAGTTGAAGGAACCAGCAGTTAGCGTAATGGCTATGTCGCTGGACTCCCACATAGTCGACCGCGGTTCGTGTCCCGGACCCGGTGGCTTAAAACTCACGCCGGGCGCGTGTGCATGCGTGCCCAAGATCCCGAGAGGAGAATGGAGGAGAAGGGATTGCGGCGTGACCATCCCCCCTGGGGGGTGATTTCTCGCTTTCTGTCTCTATGTCTCTCTCTGTCTGTCTGGCGAGCGCAGGCACCCTTACAGTGAAAATCTCTCCAAAAAAAAAAAAAAAATTAACAGTTGATAGATTCCCCCGCAAATTTTTTAGTTTTGGTCCTACCCATTTACATACTAGTTTTAGGTTTTAGCTTGACCCTCTGTGGGAAACTCCTGTTGCCTACAGGTAAAAGCTTTGGTTTCTCCTGTGAACAGGCAATGAAGCTGAGATTATACTTTACCAAATCCCTATTTAGAAACAGTTTCCCTCCACCCCCAAGCACTACCACATATAGTCTTCCCTCCTGATTGTAGCTAGA